ATATATAGTATATAGTAATACTGAACTAAGAAATCTTCCCGTATATCTGCACTCACCTGAACCAATGCATCTTCCCGTATTTCTGCATGCACCTGGAACAAAGAATCTTCCGGTATATCTGCACGCTCATAGACCAAGGAATCTTCCGGTATTTCTGCACGCTCCTAGACCAAGGAACCTTCCAGTATTTCTGCGTGCAAAGAAAACGATATATATATATATACATACATACATACATACATAAATGCACCCACCTCGATAGCTTACAGAAGAGGGGCAAAGATTAGTTTAAAATGTGTACTTCTAGCTTCATGTATATATTGTAAATCATGTAATACTATAGAATTGTACAGACACCAAACCCTGACAATTGAAGAACACTCCTCTTTACGTAGTACCTGGCCGAAGCATACCTATGATTTAAAGCTAACACAGTTGGCAAAGGTTAAGCGACTGACAAATAATCGAACCATTTCGTACATCTCAAAAACCAAACACCTCTGACCATCTGCGCTGCTGCTTCTCTCGCTAACAGTTTTTAGCTAAAAAAAGAAATCCACACCTCCGCAGGGAAAGTTACAACGTGCGAAAGAACATCCCCAGATCCAACATCTGTTATTGTGAGCAAACCTCTCTCAGAGAGAAACCCAATGCGGAGTCAGGGTAACGGCGTCATCGATATAGATACAGCTGCAAAGGACACGCTTCTCAATATAAACTAACAATATCTAACGTGTTGTAACCCTGCTACGGAGGGAACACTGAATAAATCAAATTACTCGGCAAATAAACAAAATGAAAACCCGATATGTTCACCCACGCGATTCCTTAAAACCGTCTAAAATGTAGCCAGTCGCGGAGATTACTGAATAAATCAAATTACTCGGCAAATAAACAAAAATGAAATCCGAATATGTTCACCCATGCACGCGATTCCTTAAACTGGCTAAAATGTAGCCAGACGAGTGTATATGTCTTTGTTTTTAGTTACGTAAACGTTACTATAGGGCTAAGGGGTACCGCCCTGGGTGGTAGCAGACCCATTCAAGGAGGGACGGCAGAGCTAACATGTCTCTCAGCTTAGCAAGATAAACAGTGAAATTAGATAACAGTCTATGACGTAACCAATGAAGAGGTGCGGACAAATGAATGGGATCAGAGCTCTAATAGGATGCGGACAAATGAATAGGGTGCAAAATTGTACTACAGTATACCATGCTACGCTATGCCATACCATACCATACCATACCATACCATACCATACCATACCATACCATACCATACCATACCATACCATACCATACCATACCATACCATACCATA